TCTTAATTCTTTTCTCAGTCCTTTCAGTTTGGTCAAATGTCCTCCAATTTGTTCACCAGGTTTCAATCTCGAACCATGGAATTCAGACATGAGCAAACATGAAGACTCAATTGAGACAGGCCTGTAGCAATTTTCCAATTGGACCCAAATTTGTTGGGCCATTCCATCAGGCGGAAATGTAACTTGCAGTTCAGTATCCATGGACATCAATAATGTTGTGCAAGCTTTAATTTCTAAATCTCTTACTGCAGGAGACCATGGCTGAGCAGGTGGATTAAAAATCATACAGTGAGTGCCTTCTCTGCGAAGTAACAATCCAATCTCACTGACCCAGGCCTTATAATTCTGTCCTGACATCTTTAATTTGGACTCACCAGCTAGTGGAGCAACAGAAGATGCCTGTTGAGGAATGTGCATTTGGTATGCTGGCTGTGGAAGTAAAGGCACTTGTTGTGCTGGAGGTGGACCAGGAGCTGGCCCTGGTTGTACAGCTGGAGGCACGTGTGTATGCATTTGTGGCTGCTGTGGCATTTGAGCTGCAATATTGACATGGCCTGCTGGAGACCCAGTCATTTGCCTTTGCTGCATTAAGCGTTGTTGTGTTCCATCTAAAAGGACACCAACAGCACCAGGGGGTGCTTGAGTTTGGGCCTGTGGAGACACTTGTTGCATTGCAGCTTTCTCTAGTAAATTACTTTCGCCAGCAGATGGTGCTGCACCTTTAGTTTCAGGCAGCTCAGATAATCTCTCTGCATACGTGGCACTTGGAACTTTAGAGTAGGAGTGATTATGTAAGACATGTGACATGTGCACAGCTCTCTGTTCTGATTGGCCTGACACAAAATCCACCAGGGGGTGTGTCTTTGGCTCCGAAGAAGAAGCCAAAATGGTGCTTTTAGAGATTTTGAAGTCACGAGATTCTCCCTTATCTTGCTCAAGCATAGATAAAGCCATTTTTGCCTGGGATAGCTCATGTTCATAAAACTTTATATGGTTATGATAGACTTTTGTAGTTTGCTCATCCAGGGCGAGTTGAGAGCTTCGAGGAGAATAATGAATTATTTCTCTCTCTGCGTGGAGGTGAAAATGCTCGGCCGTTTGTAGAAAATCTGGCCCTGCACCAAGCATTACAAATTCAGACGGTTCTGGGGAAACAGTTTGAGAGCACGCATAATTAGAAAGGGGCACTACTGACCTCAGTTGTAGTACTTTGCCTTCAAAAGCAGCTTTTATCTTATCTTCCTCCTGAAGCGTTCTGTCTGTTTCTTCTGCTTCTAGCCGAGTGGCTGATGCCAGGGGCTGAAATCTTGAGGGTCTTTCTATCTCCTGCTCTTCATCTGAAGAGGATAAAGCTCTGGGCTTCATTTTGCCCTTTTCCTTTATTTTGCCCTTTTTCTTCTTTCTTCTTTCGCGTTGGTAGATGATCTCTGGAGGGCTCGGGACAGGGGTTGCTCCTCTGTTCTGTTAGATTTCTCAGCGGCTTTTGATACCATCGACCATGGTATCATGCTGCACCGGCTGGAAGAGTTGGGGGTGGGAGGCACCATGTTGCAGTGGTTCTCCTCCTTTCTCTCTGACCAGTCGCAGTTTGTGTTGGCAGGGGGGCAGAGGTCGACCTCGAGGCCTCTCATCTGTGGAGTGCTGCAGGGATCGGTCCTCTCGCCCCTTCTGTTCAACATTTATGTGAAGCCGCTGGGCGAGATCATCCGTGGCTTCGGGGTGAGATACCATCAGTACACTGATGACACCCAGCTGTACATCTCCACCCCAGGCCACCCCAACGATGCCTTTGAAGTGATGTCCCAGTGCCTGGAGGCTGTGTGGATCTGGATGGGGAGGAACAGGCTCAAGCTCAACCCTTCCAAGACTGAGTGGCTGTGGCTCCCGCCATCCTGATATAGTCAGTTGACTCCATCACTGACTATTGGGGGCGAGTCTTTGACCCCCACTGAGAGGGCTCGCAATCTGGGAGTCCTCCCGGATATGCAGCTGTCCTTGGAGGAACATCTGACGGCTGTAACCAGGGGGACCTTTTGTCAGGTTCGCCTGATTCGCCAGTTGCGGCCCTTTCTTGATCGGGATTCCCTGTGCACAGTCACTCATGCCCTCGTCACCTCTCGCCTTGACTACTGCAACGCTCTCTACATGGGGCTCCCCTTGAGGAGCACCCGGAGGCTCCAACGGGTCCAGAATGCAGCAGCGCGGGTAGTGACGGGAGTAGCATGGCGCTCCCATGTAACACCGCTCCTGCGCGAGCTGCACTGGCTCCCGGTGGTCTTCTGGGTGCGCTTCAAGGTGTTGGTCATCACCTTTAAAGCGCTCCATGGCATAGGGCCTAGCTATCTTCGAGACCGACTGCTGCTACCGACGACCTCCCATCGACCCGTGCGCTCCCACAGAGAGGGCCTCCTCAGGGTGCCATCAGCCAATCAATGTAGGCTGGTGACCCCCAGGGGGAGGGCCTTCTCTGTAGGGTCACCCACCCTCTGGAATCAGTTGCCCCCAGAGATAAGGAGAGTCCAAGACCTCAGTGCCTTCCGTCGTGCCCTTAAAACCCATTTTTTCCAGCAAGCCGGGCTGGCTTAAGAAGAAATTTTTAAATGTTTTAATTGGTTTGTGATTTTTAATTTTTGGGCCAAATTTATATATATTTTAATTGTTTTTTAATATTTGTATTTCATGTTCTTATTTCTGGCTGTACACCGCCCTGAGTCCTCAGGGAGAAGGGCGGTATATAAATTGGAAATAAAATAAAAATAAAATAAAAGCAGCTTTTATCTTATCTTCCTCCTCAAGCTTTCTGTCTGTTTCTTCTGCTTCTAGCCGAGTGGCTGATGCCAGGGGCTGAAATCTTGAGGGTCTTTCTATCTCCTGCTCTTCATCCGAAGAGGATAAAGCTCTGGGCTTCATTTTGCCCTTTTCCTTCTTTCTCAGCATTTTTGCAAAAAATAATTAGCGTACCTCAGTAGCTAAAAACTAATTGCCTATGTGCTTATCATCAAAAGTAACAAGCAAGGAAAAAAACCATAAATCAACCATCGTCTGCTACCATTGTCAGAGGCAATCAGCCCCGTTAATTGCCTGGATCGTGGCATTTTCCTTGTGTATACTTTTGAAAAATAAAACCGGAATGCATCTTCTAATTAAACTCATATTTATTGTAAAGAAGAAAATAAAACATCTTACTGATCTAATTAGTTACATTTTGAAATAAAGTTCGTGCCAGCTGCTTCTCAGCAGCCGGACCTTTCTTGGCAAGAGAACAAAGGAAAGTGTGTGAAGGAATGTGGGTGGACATGCGCAGTTTAGCTTAAGGATTCTTGGCAAGCTACGGAAAGTCTGATAGTCCAGAAATAATGAGCTCAGCTGGTAAATACAAAAACATCAGGACTTGGTGCTTTGTTACTTCTTTGTTTTTTGAGTGCCTCGGATATCTCAAATGTTGTTATCTCATTATTTAATATATCTTTACATTCCGCTGGGATTTTTGGCAGTCCTATTTTGTTCAATGATGGATCTAGCCCGATAACTCAAAGACAAATTCTAGTTTTCAATTGAATTCCTTTATTGCAGGCCTAGGTGAATCCTAGGCCCTGTGGCACCAGAGGTCACTGACCTTAAACCGTTCTCTTTCAGGTATACATCTGGAACAACTGGAGTACCTCGTGGTGAGAGCTATTATACTCAGGAGGAGGGGCCAGGAGGTAAGGAGTGGCTATGGGGGTGATGGGATATGTGATTAGTTAACCCCTGCAGAGCCAGGTGCCCAGGGTGGCAATACAGTTAGGCATTTACCATGACATATTTTTTGCAGATATTGGAGTATCTTACCTTCCTCTATCTTTTCTTTATCCTCATACAGATTTTTAAAAAACTCATAGGCTATCTTTCTCTCCCCTCATTTTGGCATATTAATTCTCCCCCATCACAATATAGTTGACTAATCCGACTTTTTTCCTTTCGTTTTTTTAATTGAAACCAGCAACCAGCATCCTGGCTTATTTGCATTCTTAAAAAATTTTTGTTTAATACTTTTTATTTGTTGTGCCATACTTTCCACTTCAATAATTGTGGAAATTGGGATCGTAGAAACACCCAGGAGCATAGAAGAGTCCAAAGGCAGATGCATGAATAAATGTGATAAATGTATTTATTCATATAACAAAACATATTAACTATATACAAAGGCTGTCTTAATATCCATTAGGATAGGGGGCACACAGCGTGTGTGACTACCCCTATCAAAGATCATGTCTCATGGAGAACAAACGTAAAAGAGAGCAAGGTGGAGAGGTTAGAGGGGGTTTTATACTCAGTGAAAGCCCCTCCTCTCCACATAGGGGTGGGGGCACTTCCTGCCTCCACTAGTGTCTGTATGATATATGTGCCAATGGCTTGCAAATACTTGACAATAATATTCCATTTATGTTTGATTGTATCTATTTGTTGTTTCAACTCCCGTTTTCTTGGTTCAGACCCATCTGGTCCTAAAGGGGAGCCTCTGGGCTCTTGCTCTGCAAGTCGAGGCTTTATAAATCTTTTAAATCAATCGAATCAATCCCCAGCAAACCTTGCACTGCCCAGAGGAACTGCCTGGTCCCCATCCCCAGGCCTGCCACTGTCTCTCTCTCCTCCCTGGTCTCTGGGTGCAGCTGCTGGAGCCCCCAGTGGGCCCTTGCTTGAGCTGGCCTAGGAGGCGATGGCTCCCGAGTCTTCTGGTGGCCCTCTGAGCACTTGGAATGGAGAGGCAGAGGGAGGCTCCCAATGCCAGGACCGTCCCTGGGCAGGAATGCAGCCATGCCTTTGGGCACCAGGCGATAAGGCATGGCATCAGCACTTTGCAGAGATACAACTCATGCATTCTAGGTCACATGTTACAAACAACAACAACAAATACTTTCTTTCTGATTTGGCACTTGATATATTTACATGATACTCTTACATAACCCAGAAGTGGTGCCAAACCCAGGCACAGTTAAATGCCCGCAACCCCACCGAGCCTGCATAGAGGCTGACACCATGGAGCTGGCAAGTGCAGTCTCCCTCTTCTTGGTCGCCTACCTCTCCTGCCTCGTCCTGATGTTCATCCGGAGGAAGTCCTCTGCCAGGGGCCGGCTGCCTCCTGGACCCTCTCCTCTGCCTCTGGTTGGGAACTGCCTGCAGATGAAGGCATTCAAAACCTTGTCCTCCCTCCTCAAGGTAAGTCCACCTCTCTTGCCCAGAGGAAGCCCCAGAGATGTTCTTCCCTTGTCCACTCCACCTGGCCTCTTGGGTCTCCACAGCCAGAGCCCTGGATTTTCCTTCTCCATGATCCCAAACGTTCCCTGCCATCTCTTTCCAGCACCACCTTCCTTGTAGCTTCCGTGAGATGACTAGGTGGCTCATTGGCTTGATAAGATGTGGCTAGGTGGCTCATTGGCCAATTCACTGAGTGGCCAAAGTCCCTTCCAACTTTGTTACTGTTAGATTAGATTCTCCGGGTTATGTCTTCTTTCGGGATCCAATCTGGGTCTTTCCTTTCTTCTTCTTCTTCTTCGGCTTCCATTTAGGCATTCACACCTACGTGAAGCCTGGGAAAGGAATTTTCCCCCCTTGGGCATCGTATGTCGGATTTGGCCGAATCGCCTTCTGATCAAGCAGATCGCGTGTTTCACAAGGAGCCACACAAACCGAGATTAGAGAACACTTTTCTAGGCTAAAGGAAGCCTTGATGGGGCTGGGAAAATGGTTTGATTTCCTTGGGGAACTTTGTCAAGATTATTGGCTGACAGGCTGGCAGAGGGAAGCATGTCCAGCGCCCCCCACCTCCAAAAAAGCATGGCACACAAAGTTGTTTTGGGGAGCAATTCTATAACCTAGACCTATAACCAGCCCTACCACCCATTTTTAATGAGTCTAGGGTCTGGAATATTAACAAGGAAACATCAGGAAATGCAAATATCTCCTTTCCTAAGCCACACGCCTGAAGCATGCCAATGCTGCCACCGTTGTCAAAAAGATCCCCCAGAGCCAATTTCTAGAATTGTGGAAGCTTTGTTTCCAATATTTTAGGTGTGTGTGTGTGTGTGTTTAGAGTTAGGGTTCTGCCTTGGTGTGACTTCGGGGCATTGTGCAATTTTTCTTTGGACTAAGGAGTGCACCCAAAAAATCCATTTTTTGACTACCAGTTCTGTGGGTGTGGCTTGGTGGCTTGGTGGACATGGCTTGGTGGGTGTGGAAGGGGAAGGTTACTGCAAAATCTCCTTTCCCTCCCCACTCCTGGGGGGAAGGATACTGCAAACTCCTGGGGGTTATATACTGCAAAATCCCCATTACTGCTAAAATCTCCATTCCCACCCAGCTCTAGGGGGAAGGATACTGCAAAATCCCCATCCCACCCCTCTCTTGGGGGAAGGATACTACAAAATCTCCATTCCCACCCAGCTCTAGGGGGAAGGATACTGCAAAATCCCCATTCCCACCTCTCTCCTGGGGGAAGGATACTGCAAAATCCCCATTCCCACCTCTCTCCTGGGCGAAGGATACTGCAAAATCCCCATTCCCACCCCTCTCCTGGGGGAAGGATACTGCAAAATCCTCATTCTGTACCTTCTCCTGGGGGAAGGATACTGCAAAATCCCTATTCCCTCCCTTCTCCTGGGGAAAGGATACTGCAAAATCCCCACCCCTCTCCTGGGGGAAGGATACTGCAAAATCCTCATTCCATACCTCCTGGGGGAAGGATATTGCAAAATCCCCATTCCCACCCTCTCTTGGGGAAGGATACTGCAAAATCTCCATTCTCTCCTGGGGGAAGGATACTGCAAAATCCCCATTCCCACCCTCTCTTGGGGGAAGGATACTGCAAAATCTCCATTCCCACTCCTCTCCTGGGGGAAGGATACTGCAAAATCCCCATTCCCCCCTCTCCTGGGGGAAGGATACTGCAAAATCCCCATTCCCTACGTTCTCCTGGGGCAAGGATACTGCAAAATCCCCATTCCCACCTCTCTCTTGGGGAAAGGATATTGCAAAATCTGCATTCCCACACCACTCTGGGGCCAGCCAGGGATGGTATTTGCCAGTTCTCCGAACTACTCAAAATTTCCACTACCGGTTCTCCAGAACCTGTCAGAACCTGCTGGATTTCACCCCTGGGTACACAGTGTGTTATGCTACAGGATGAATACATGAATACAGGAATGTTAATTTAATATTAATTTTCCTATTCCCAAGAACTGAACTTGTTCATGAGGCAGATCTTCTGGCATTAAGATTGTATCTCACGGCACCTTCAATGGCTGCACTGTGTAAATCGCCAGGCGCTTGAGCAACTAACGGCTCTGCGCCTGTCCATCATAAAACAGTCCTGCCAGCTGAGTGACTCTCGGTCATTCAGTCCAAGGCAAAAGTGAAGCGGCCCCTCCTTGTTGCTGTCCTTCAAAGGGCAGTGGAGGCTGTTTTCCACAGCAGAGAACCTCTGATTACGTTCAAGAATTTCTACCAATCCAGTGACCAGATGTCCTGTTGGTTTTATGCAATTTGTGGCGGATGGAAGAGCTTGGAAGCAAAGTCCAAGGAAGCTTGGATGCATGCCAACCCTTTTAAGTTTCCACATGGATGGCACTGAGGGTCAGTCTCTGGCAAGGGCACCTCTTGGGCCACCTTCTCCTTCGTCTCCTTCGTTCTCTCTCAGTTCTCCAGCCGAGTTTGTCCTCAGGCTGCTCAGTGGCTAAGACGCTGAGCTTGCCGATCAAAGATCGGCGGTTCGAATCCCTCGTATAGGTCTCCTGTGTGAGCAAGGGGGTTGGGCTAGATGACCCCCAAGGTCCCTTCCAACTCTGTTACTGTTACTGACCTTCCTTGGCTTTCCGTGGTTACCCAATTGGTGAATTTGAGATGGGTGGTTCCAGGGGTGAAATTCAGCAGGTTCCGGAGAACCGGTAGTGGAAATTTTGAGTAGTTCGGAGAACCGGCAAATACCACCTCTGTCTGGCCCCAGAGTGGGCTGGGAATGGGAGTTTTGCAGTATCCTCCTCCCAGGAGTGGGGAGGGAATGGGGATTTTGCAGTATCCTTCCCCCAGGGGAGGGGAGGGAATGGGGATTTTGCAGTATCCTTCCCCCAGGAGAGGGGAGGGAATGGGGGTTTTGTAGTATCCTTCCCCAGGAGTGGGGAGGGAATGGGGATTTTGCAGTATCCTTCCCCAAGAGAGGGGAGGGAATGGGGATTTGGTAGTATCCTTCTCCCAGGAGTTGGGAGGGAATGGGGATTTTGCAGTATCCTTCCCCCAGGAGAGGGGAGGGAATGGGGATTTTGCAGTATCCTTCCCCAGGGGGAAGGATATTGCAAAATCTCCATTCCCACCTCACTCTGGGACCAGCCAGAGGTGGTATTTGCCAGTTCTCCGAACTACTAAAAATTTCCCTACCGGTTCTCCGGAACCTGTCAGAACCTGCTGGATTTCACCCCTACTTATGACTCTTTTTCACAGTTACGATCTTTGCAGCATCCCCATGATCACGTGATCAAAATTCGTACTGTTGGCAGCAGTCTCATACTTCTGATGGCTGCAGCATCCGTGGGTCCCATCATCCCCTTTTGTGACCTGACAAGCAAAGTCAATGGGGAAGCCAGATTCACTTAACAACCGGGTTACTAACGACTGCAGTGATTCACTGAAGAACCGTGGCAAGAAAAAAATCGTAAAAGAGGCCAAAACTCACTTCACAAATATCTCACTTAACAACCGAAATGTTGGGCTCAATTGTAGTTGCAAGTTGTATTTCCATCTCTCCTTTTGGTTCCTGTGCAGCTGCGGGAAAAATACGGCCCCGTCTTCACGGTCTACTTTGGAAACCGCCCGATTGTGGTCTTGTGTGGCTACGAAGCAGTGAAGGAGGCCCTGATTGACAAGGCGGAAGAATTCTCCGGGAGGAAAACCAACCCTACCCTGCAGAAGACCTTCCAGGATTACGGTGAGGGCCCCAGGCTGGTGGGGCAGGAGCAGGCCAGGCTGCCCCCCCTTTCCTGGTCACGGGGCCCATTGCTCTCCTCTGTTCCCAGGGGTGGCCTTTGCCAATGAGGAGCGCTGGAAGCAGCTGCGCCGGTTCTCCCTAACCATCCTGAGGAATTTTGGAATGGGGAAGAAATCCATCGAGGAGAGGATTCAAGAGGAGGCCCAGTTCCTGCTGGAGGAATTTCAGAAGACTCAAAGTGAGGCTGGGGGAGGGGGAGAGGGGAGGGGAGGGGACAGTTTGAAAGGCCGCTGGACCGGTTGACTGACCATCCAACCCAGTGGTGGGATTCAAATAATTTAGCAACCGGTTCTCTGCCCTAATGACCAGCTGGGTGGGCGTGGCCATGGTGGGTGTGGCCAGGGGTGTGACAGGCAGCACTCGGCCTCCTGCAGCCCCCTGGGAATGAAAACAGGCCACGAGGGGTGCGCTGCACCCCCATGTCCTATTTTGGGCCTAGGAGGCTTCCCAGGAACGAAAATGGGCTGCGAGGGTGGGGGAACACACCACGCTCCCCGGGCCCCATTTTGGGCCTAATAGGCCTCCCTGTACTTACCTGTGAGCCAAAATGGGGCATGTGGGGACTCCTGGAAGGGGTGGGGCAGGAAGGGGCGGAAAGGGGCCAGCCAACAATTTAACTACTGGTTTGCCCAAACTGGCCCGAACCGGCTGAATCCCACCATGGATCCAACCCATTGCAGCAATGCTGAAGTCAGATATTAAGATGTCCAGAACATAAACATAGAATCACAGGGCCGGAGCGGACCTGAGAGGCAGGAGACCTTGAGGAGGGGCTCGGACTAGGAAACTTCTGGTCCAGGAGATGCTTGGGCTGAAAAAGAGCATCACGGAATGTGGTTTCTTTCTTTGCTGACTCAAACAGGCATCAGGCATCATTTCCTCTCTAAATAATTGCGTACAGGGGAAGAGAGGAACCACCCCACAGCAGGGGTGGGTTCTAAAATTTTTTACTACTGGTTCTGTGGGCGTGGCTCATTTTGTGGGCGTGGTTTGATGGTCATGTGACAATTCTTTAGGACAGTGATGGCTAACCTTTTTGCCGTCGCGTGCCAAAAGCAGGGGGAGCACGGGAGGTCGCGCGCGCGTGTGCCCACACCCATAACTCAATGTGCCCTGCTCCCCCGTGCATGCATGCGTGACCCCCTCACGCGACCCCCGCTTTTGGCATGCGATGACATGGTGGGGCCCAGTAGGCCTGTCTTTTGCCCTCCTCAGGCTCCAGAGGCTCTCTTGGAGCCTGGGGAGGGCAAAAACTGCCTTTCCCATCCCCTGGAGGCCCTCCGGAGGCCAGAAACAGCCCGTTTCATGACTTCCAGTGGGCCTAGAGCCGGTCCACCCATTTGTTTTTGGAGCGCACTGGTCTACCACCACCCTGCCTTTTACCGCTGATCAGCTGTAGGGCGGCCCTTCGAAGCGCTGCGGCAAGAGTTTAAACAGTTTTTTTCTTTCTAGCCAATCAGCTGGGACTCGGGAGGCAGCGAATACATTGGGGGGTGGTGGTGGCAGGCAGAGGTGGAATTTACTGGTTCTCCGAACTACTCAAAATTTCCACTACCGGTTCGCAAGAACTGGGGAGAACCGGTAGCAACCCACCACTGCCCCACACCCCTCCTAAAACAAATCTGGAGAAAATTGTTTACCTCTTTGGCCTAAGCCCGTGATGGGGAACCTATGGCACATGGGCCCGAAGTGGCACGCAGAGCCATGTCGCCTGGCATGCGCGGCATCACCTGTTCCTCTTCCGGGTTTCTGGCGCACATGTGAGCGCGACGATCACTTGGCCTTTTTGCATGTGGCAGTGCCAGAAACTGGAAGACTTGGTCTCCTGTTTTCCTGCGTGAGCATGCGCACCATCCAGGTGATTGTTGAGAGTGCATGCGGCCCAGAAACTCGGAAGAGTAGCTGGCTAAAACCGGAAGTTTAGCAGCTGAAACCGGAAGTTCATTTTTGGGCATGCACATGTGCCCTGGGCAGCTCGTCTTCCAGGTTGCGGTCCAGATACGCGCATGCTCCCTTTTTGGCACTTGGCGCCAAAAAGGTTCGCCATCACTGGCCTAAGCGGTTCCTACAACACGTTGACCCTCCCTTCCTTTTCTCTTTCTCCCTCCGCACCAGAGAAGCCCTTCAACCCCATCTTCTTCCTCAGCTGCGCCGTGTCCAACGTCATCTGTTCGATCGTCTTCGGCGATCGCTTCGATTACAAAGACAAGGAATTTCTGGCTCTGATGAAGATGATAAACGACAGCCTTCAGCAGATGAGCAACAGCTGGGCTCAGGTAGGTCCACACAGGTTCTCGCCTCTCTTCAGCAAAATGGGAGGATCCGAGACTGCTCCTCCCTCGGACAATCTGGCACTATCCGAAAACACTGGGCAGCTGCCGTGGCTTGGGAGGAGGAGAACTCTGGTCCAAGACCCAAGGGGCAGCCAGGAGGGAGGAAAGGGCCCTTGAAAGAAAAAATCTCCAAGATTAGAATAGAATAACAGAGTTGGAAGGGACCTTGGAGGTCTTCTAGTCCAACCCCCTGCTTAGGCAGGAAACCCTACACAACTTCAGACAAATGGTTGTTCAATCTCTTCTTAAAAACTTCTAGTGTTGGAACTTCTGGAGGCAAGTTGTTCCTCTGATTAATTGTTCTAAATGTCAGGAAATTTCTCCTTAGTTCTAAATTGCTTCTCTCCTTGATTAGTTTCCACCCATTGCTTCTTGTCCTGCCCTCAGGTGCTTTGGAGAATAGCTTGACTCCCTCTTCTTTGTGGCAGCCCCTGAGATATTGGAAGACTGCTATCATGTCTCCCCTGGTCCTTCTTTTCATCAGACTAGACATACCCAGTTCCTGCAACCGTTCTTCATATGTTTATTTGATTATTTAAGTTCATATGATTATTTAAGTTCCTCTCATATCAGCTTTATTGTGCAAATGCATCTGCTGATTTATTCTTGAAATGCTGCATTCATTAACTGATTAATCGATCTCATTGAGTACCTTCGGCTATGCATCCATCGGCTGGAATGAGCTTTTTTGTAACATGTCATATGTAACGGTAACAGAGTTGGAAGGGACCTTGGAGGTCATCTAGTCCAACCTCCTGCTCACACAGGAGACCGGTACTAGGGATTCGAACTGCTGACCTTTTTGATCGACAAGCTCAGTGTCTTAGCCACTGAGCCATATTCTTTTCCTCTCGTTTTCTGCAGTTCTACGATATCTACGCCAACCTCCTGAAATACTTCCCAGGGCCCCACACCAAGATCTCTGACATCCTGGAGGACGTAAGGCTCTTCATTGCCAGGAGGGTGAAGAAGAACAAGGAGACCCTGGACCCCAACTGTCCCCGGGATTACATCGACTGCTTTCTCATCCAGATGGAGAAGGTAGGAGACAGGGAGGGAGCCAGGATGATTTCCCCAGCTACAAAGCTGTGGGTGGCACAGGGCAGTGGTGGAATTCAATTTTTTTTTATTACCGGTTCTATGGGCATGGCTTGGTGGGTGTGGTGTGGTGTGGCTTGGTGGACGTGGCTTGGTGGGTGTAGCAGGGGAAGGATATTGCAAAATCCCCATTCCCTCCCCACTCCTGGGGAAGGATACTGCAAAATCTCCATTCCCTCCCCACTCCTGGGGAAGGATACTGCAAAATCCCCATTCCCTCCCCACTCCTGGGGAAGGATACTGCAAAACCTCCATTCCCTCTCCACTCCTGAGGAAGGATATTGCAAAATGTCCATTCCCTCCCCACTCCTGGGGGGAAGGATATTGCAAAATGTCCATTCCCTCCCCACTCTGGGGCCAGCCAGAGTTGCTATTTGCAGGTTCTCTGAACTACTAAAAATTTCCGCTACTGGTTCTCCAGAACCTGCTGAATAGCACCCGTGGCACAGGGGGCTTTGCCACGGGGCAAAAGATGCGGCTCCTTTCCTGCAGAGGGCACTGGGGCACTGGTGGAGATGGGGACAGAGACAGGTGAAGCAGGAAAGGGGCTGGCGGCAGAGACAGCCTGTCCCCTGGGAATCCCTTGGCCAGTCCAGCCACTCGCTAGGACCAAGGGGCCATTTCTGTTTTGGGGAAACCGGGCAGTGGTGGGTTGCACTTGGTTTGCACCGGTTCTATAGAATCAGTAGTTAAACCGGCGGGAGGCTCTGCCCACCGACCCCGATGTCATCAGAACGCTTCTGCGCATGCGTTGTAAACCGGTAGTAAAGGTAAGTAGAACCCACCCCTGAAACTGGGCGCTTAGTCAGCCTCCAATCAGGGCTTGTCTCGCCTGGTGTGCTCCCCCCCAACCCAGCTGGAAAGCCTCCTTCGAGCCCCCCCCCCGAGCTTCTCACGCACTTGGGTTCTACTTTGCCTTCAGGAGAAGGACAATCCGGACACCGAATTCAACCAGAAGAACCTGGAGTTGACCACACTGAACTTGTTTTTTGGTGGGACAGAGACGGTCAGCTCCACCCTGCGATCCGGATTTCTGTTGCTGATGAAGTACCCTGAAGTGCAAGGTATTTTGGGTGTGTGGGTGATTCAGCCCCAACGCAGTATATGTCTCTAGGCCAGGAAGCAGCCCCCCCACATCCCCCGAGTGCCACCGGGATCACTAGGCCAGCGAGAAGTTGCTGTGAGCTGCACAAATGCCCGGATTCAGCCTGGGAGCCACCCATGGAGGAGGTCAGGCCAGAAGCTGTTGGGTGAAGGGGAGGGATGCCAGCCCCATGGCCCTTGAGAACAGCCCCCTCAGTAGGTGGAGACCCCTTCTGTCCAGTTCTTTGGGCCCCCCCAGCCGCTGATCCAGGTGCATCAGAGAGCGTGCAGTTGAAGCCACTAACTTTAAGGCCACATTTTACCAGCAAAGATGCAGGAAGAAATCGACCGTGTGATTGGCCAGAACCGGATCCCCAACATTGAAGACCGGAGCCAGATGCCCTACGTGGACGCGGTCATCCATGAAGTACAGCGGTTCAGTGACCTCGTCCCCATGAACGTGCCCCATGCGGTCACCCGTGACACGGAATTCAGAGGCTACCTTATTCCGAAGGTCAGAGCCTTGAGGAGGGGGAGACTGGCCCAGGGGCATCGGGCTGGCATGTTGCCACCTGTTCTGACCTAGGCTCCCTTAATAAGCCGGAGGCAGGAATTACTGGCAAAGCCCCTTTTATTTACATGACTGTGAATTACGTTCATTCAGAGTCAGCAAGTTTTGTCCAAATAGTTTTTCAAAGGAATATTTCTCAACACACCTAATCTCGTTTGACAAGCTGCCACGTAACTTGTTTCCAACCACAGTACAAGACAAAACTTGGCACAGAGTCTCTCAGAGTCATGGAACAAACAAATTGTTTTCTGCGAAAGCCCCCTCCCTGTTCACTCCTCTTTTGTTTCCTATGGGAGGGGCCAATCACCTCCAAGGTGTGGCTTTAGTCCCGAGTCGACCCTGCTTTCTGAGTTGTTCTTGTCTTCTGGCAGCTCTGTGCATACGCACACAGGGAACAGGCTCCAGCTGTTCCTCTGCCTCTCTGCTAACTCCCTCTCTGCCTCCGACGCAAAGCTCTCGTCCGAGCTTTCCCCAGGCCCAGGACTGGCCCATGTTCCTCCCCAACCTCCTCACTGTCCGACTCTGCTGCCAGCTCCGCTGGCCACTGATGGGCCACAACAAAACCCTGGGCACTGGCTGGACTGCCCAGCAGGATCGGGGAGAGAGATCAAGGGGCTGAGAAGGGCTGGCCAGGAGGCAGGAACCCCGGCTGGAGAGTTCTAATGGCCCAAAGGCAGTGCCCCCTCTCCTCCCACCCAGCCGGCCAGGTGCGATGAGAGGAGGGTGTCGATGGTGTCCCAAAGGATCCGCAGGACAGAAGGGTAGGAAAACCCAGGTACTCGGCACGTGTCCAAACCGGCCCCCGCTCTGTCTCTGCAAAAAGGGAGATGGTCTCTTGGCTGCCTTCCCCAGATCACTTGGGCATTTTGTGACAGCTGGGCGAAAGAACCTCTGCCCCTTCTCTTCCTCAGGGCACAGAAGTCTTTCCCATGCTCAGCACCGTCTTGCATGACGGCACCAAATTTAAAAGCCCTGAAGGGTTCCACCCGGAGAACTTCCTGGATGAGAAGGGGTGCCTGAAGAGGAATGATGCCTTTGTCCCCTTCTCCGCAGGTACAGCCACACACCGAGCCCACCTTCCCCCCACCACACCCTCCCGGGCCAGGCTTCTTGGCTGCCCTTGGGATTTTTCCTTTTACAGCCGGCTTTTCCGGTTTCCATACCAAGCTGGCATTGGGGGCTTCCTTGGCATTTCTTACGCATGCTGGACGCCCCTTTGGCCCCGCTGGCAACTCAGGAACCCAGGTGGCCCTCTAGGCAGCGGCCCTGCCTTTCCCAGAGTGTGCTGAGCAGCTCCTGGCCATCCAGCTTCCGGCCAGGAAATGGCTTGGACCTGCCCGGAGGCTCTAAGCCACTTCTCCCGGTCTCTCCTCGCAGGGAAACGCATCTGCCTGGGGGAAGGCCTGGCCCGGATGGAGCTCTTCCTCTTCTTCACCACCATCCTACAGCGGTTCCGGCTGAAGCCCGTGGTGGAGCCCAAGGACATCAACCTGACACCCCAGGAAATCGGCATTGCCACCATCCCACCCCTGTACGAGCTCTCGGTCATCCCCCGCTGAGAGGAGGGAGCCATGCGGGCGGGCGAGTGTGCCCTGCCTCTGGACTCCTGTCCTTTTGCACCAGCTGGGCTTTCAGCAAGAGCTGCACGCAGTGGTGAAATGTAAAATTTGTTACTACCAGTGCTGTGGGCGTGGCTTGGTGGGGATGTAATATGACTGAGTGGGCAGAGCCAACTTTTTTTTTTTTTTACTTTTAAAATCATTTTTTCTACCATCTCTTCGGCTGAAGAGGTTGTAGAAAAAATGCTTTTAAAGCCTCTGATGATCCCAGCTGACTTGCCTGATCGGCAGAGACTTTTTCTTTTAAGCCTCTAACAATCCCAGCTGACTTGCCTGATTGGCAGAAGCTTTTTTTCCTTTTAAAAACATTTTTTCTATAACCTCTTTGGCCGAAGAGGTTATAGAAAAAATGCTTTTAAAAATTAAAAATAAGCCTCTGACGATTGCGCGGCACAGCTGGGCAATGGGGGGGGGAGAGGAATTTTTGCTACCAGTTCTCCGAACCACCCGCCTCCATCGCTACCAGATCGGGCGACCCGGTCCGAACCGGGAGCATTTCACCCCTGACTGCACGGTCCCCTTCTCTGCACCCCACCCGGGGCCAGGATCTCTGAGGGGGGTGGGAAAAAATACCTCTTCCAGGTGTTTGCCTTGAAAATATAAAGCTTTGCAAGGATGCAGATGATCTGAACTGATGCAGCTCTGGTTTCTTCTAAGCTGTGTGTGTGTGTGTGTGTGTGTGTGTGTGTGTGTGTGTGTGTGTGTGTGTGGGCTTGTTTCCTGGTTGTTATTGTGCCCCAACACAATCACTGGGGTAAATCTATGTGAGGGGCCAATCACCTCCAAGGTGGCCTACGTGATGTTGCTTCAAAAGAGCAAAGCAAAAGAAGTAGGAGAGAGCAAAAGCCAGAGAAACGGTCATCTGCCCAGCACGTTGCCATAAAAAGCCACAGGATCCCCTTGCCTCACCCCCACCCCTGGCCTGTCCCGGATCCGATGGCCCCGAATGTGACACTCAGGAAGTCCATTTACAGGGGGCATGGATCCCTCTCGCTCAGGCCATGAGCCTGCTTCCTTCAGCCATCTTGGAGGGCTGGAGAAGAATGGCTACCAGGCAGCACCAGTGCGCACCAAGTCAGATACTTGGACCAGATTCTGGGCCTATTCCAGGACAGGCCCATCAGTGCCAGCTGAGCTGGAGCAACTCTCTGGGCAGAACAAGAAGATCCAGATGGACTGGCCAAGTTTCAGCGGAATCTGGAACATATGCTGATGGGTTTCAGCCATCTGAAGGGAAAGCAGCTCATCCAGAAATGAGAGAACCCCCAAAGCAGCAACACCTTTGCCAAACCACAGTTCCCAGGCTGCCTTCACACAAGGTGCCTGTCGGTGGTGAAATCTGAATCGGTTTACTACCCGTTTACCGTGGTCAGCCAGGCTAGCTGAAGCCCAGTTGCCAACTTCTGGGCAAGCCTAAAGCACAGGGTTGCTCTTCAAAAACTTTAGTAAGCGGTTCTCTGCCCTGTGGCCTAGTCGGAATCCTGCACCACGGCTGGGGGTGGGGGCGTTTTTTCCCTCCCTGGGCTCTGGGGGCTTTCTTCGAGCCTCCGGGAGGGTGAAAACAGCCTCCTCAGGCTCTGGGAAGCCGGAAATGGGCCCGTTTCTGGCTTTCCCTAACTTCCGGTAGGCCTGTTCCCCCCCCCCCGAGCCTCCGTGCGCGCCCTGCACTTACCTACATCCAAAATAGACCGCGTGGAGACTCCTGGGAAGGGAGGGGCGGGTTGGGTAGGGCCAGCCAGGAGTGGCATTTGGGGGTTCTCCGAACTGCACAGAATCGTTGCTAGAGGTTCTCCCGAACCTCTACGAACCCCCGGCAGCCCCACTCCTGCCCAAGCACCCGGCTGAGGCCAGGAGGCGTGCCAGCCTCTGAAGCTATAACTACTGTCCTCCTGTCCTGCAGGCACAAACAGGGCTCAACAAACAGAAACACAACCGCAACTAACGCAACACGCGATAAACAACGTGTCAAATACCTGGGGGCATGCTGCCATCTATTGCTTCACCTGTTGAGTTTCTATCTGAAGGAACCATCAGCCAGAGGAATGTTGGTTGCATAGCATAAACACTTCAAAGCTCTTGATCGGCACCTGTTTGGGAAATCCAGTGACATCAGGTGTCAACAGGTTGTTCAAAACTCTGGTTTGGAGCAAAGCTTGAGAAATGGCATGATGGGGGCAGGGAGCAGGGGGTCGAGGGCCCTGGGCCTCCTCGACCCCAGACCTGGATGGAGCTCTTCTGGATGCTCTTTTCGTACACTTCCCACCAGGGGCGGGTTTCAAAAATCTTAGCAAGGGGTTCTCTGCCCGGCTGCTGGGTGGGCGTGGCCATGGTGGGAGTGGCCTAGTTGATCTCCTACACCACAGGGAGGGGGGGCATTTTTGCCCTCCCCAGGTTTCAGAGGCTTTCCTCAAGCCTCTGGGAGGGTGAAAACGGCCTCTCCAGGCTCTGGAGGCCAGAAATGGGCCCATTTCAAGCCTTCCTGAACTTTCTGTAGGCCCATTTTTCGCCCTCCACGAGCCTCCACAGCGTATGCCCTGCACTTACCTGCATCCAAAATGGACCGCATGGGGACTCCTGGGAGGGGAGTGGAGGGGCAGGATGGGTGGGGCTAGCCAGGAGTGGGATTGGGGGGTTTCCCGAACTGGACAGAATCTTAGCTAGAGGTTCTCCCGAACTCCTGTGAATCCCCAGCAGCCCACTCCTCAGTGGTGGGTTTCAAAAAAATTTACTACCAGTTCTGTGGGTGTGGCTAAGTGGGCGTGGCAAGGCTTGGTGGGCGTGGCTTGGTGGGTGTGGCATGGGAAGGATACTGTAAAATCTCCATTCCCACCCCACTCCAGGGGAAGGATACTGCAAAATCCCCATTTCCTCCCAATCAGCTGGGACTTGGGAGGCAGAGAATAGATGGGGGCGAGGCCAGTCAGAATTTTTACTACCAGTTCTCCGAACTACTCAAAATTTCTGCTACTGGTTCTCCAGAACTGGTCAGAACCTGCTGAAACCCACCTCTGCCACCCCTGCTTCCCATGCTTGGGACACTTTTGCAGTTGGAGAGCAGCTATTTTAAAGAGAGTCTTGTCTCTACTCTGTCTCCTGGGCTGTGACCCACTGAACCCCCTCCCCCAATCCTCCTGGCTCCTCCAGGCCCTTTAGACAGACTCAGGGTCCCCCTGGTGAGCTCAGCAAAGCCTGGCCTGCAAAGGGAGAGAGCTTTGCATAAGCTGAATTTCGATCATGTGACTTATGGGGTGTGTGTGCTGAAACAAGTTATAAATGTGAGGACCAGGTTTGAGACAATTTTTTTCGGTGCCATTCTAATTTTGAATGGTCACTAAACGAACGGCTGCAATTCAAGGACCACCTGTAATGCAAATTTCTGGCAGAGTTTGCAGAACTGAAGGAGCTTCTTGGATGAGAAGCGAAACGTCTTCAAGGAAAAACAAAATCCGGTTGCCTTTTGAAAAAGCATTTTTGTGACAACCACGACCTGGATGATTGTGAATCTCCACGGACACTAAGCTCTGATGTGATTTTTTTTTTTTCTGTAGGAGCCCAGCTGTCCATTTTAGGGGCAAAAAAAGCCTTTGGTAAGTTTTACTAAGTGAGTAAAAACTTTAAAATAAACGTACAGTGCTGCATTAACAGAAATGTCAATTGCAAATAGGCTGCGATTGACACCCTTAGAATTCCACAGTAGATTTAGCAAACGTCATCTAGAGAGGTTGCATTTAAAATCCTGCATAGATAAACCCACAAGCACTTTGATGGGGATGAAGCACCACAAAGTCCCAGCCTTTCAACACATTCTCTGCCTCTCCTTGCAAGGCACCTGCGCAGGTAATTCTTGTCTTAACAACCATTCTTTTACCAGCTGTTCCAAGTCACGGTGGCTCTGACAAACGTGCCTTAAGATCTGCACTTAGGACCATTGTGTCAGGGTTTGCCCCTCAGGAACATAATCAGATTTCCGGCTCTTGACAACCTGCATGTACTTATGACGATTGCAGCATCCTAGGGTCACATGATCATTGCCTGAACTCATCCTTTCTGGTTTCTGACAACTAAAGTCAGTGGGGGAAGCTGGATTCATTTAACGATTGTGTGATTCACTTAAAGGTAAAGGTTCCCCTTGCACATATGTGCTAGTCGTTCCCGACTCTAGGGGGCGGTGCTCATCTCCATTTCAAAGCTGAAGAACCAGCACTGTCCAAAGACGTCTCCGTGGTCATGTGGCCGGCATGATTAAATGCCAAAGGTGCACGGAACACTGTTACCTTCCCACCAAAGGTGGTCCCTATTTTTCTACTTGCATTTTTTGACGTGCTTTCGAACTGCTAGGTTGGCAGAAGCTGGGACAAACAACAGGAGTTCACCCCATTACGCAGCACTAGGGATTCGAACCGCTAAACTGCCGATCTTTCGAGCGACAAGCTCAGCGTCTTAACCACAGAGCCACTGTGTCCCTGTGTGATTCACTTAAGCATGGCAAAAAAAAAAAAAGTTATAAAATGGGGCACGACACACTTAACCGCTTTGCTAAAGAACAAATTCTGGTCCCAGTCCTGGTTGTAAGTTGAGGACGACCTGTAGTTGATCTCCAGACAAGGCCACAGAGGTGATGACAAAGTTTTCCAAATAGCCAGACCCCTTAAACTGGAACCCAGTTGGAAGATCTCTTCCACGTAAAGTCCCATTTGGAAGGGGGCGAGTGCACTGAACAAAGGAGAGGCGTTCTCCTTGGTGAGATTTTGCAGGCCGAGAAGGCAGTTTGGAGCATTTCCCTGATCACAAGACACAAAGCAGTGATGGTCACTGTAGAAATTGGGATCGTAGAAACACCCAGGAGCATAGAAGAGTCCAAAGGCAGATGCATGAATAAATGTGATAAATGTATTTATTCATATAACAAAACATATTAACTATATACAAAGGCTGTCTTGATATCCATTAGGATAGGGGGCACACAGCGTGTGTGACTACCCCTATCAAAGATCATGTCTCATGGAGAACAAACGTAAAAGAGAGCAAGGTGGAAAGGTTAGAGGGGGTTTTATACTCAGTGAAAGCCCCTCCTCTCCACATAGGGGTGGGGGCACTTTCTGCCTCCACTAGTGTCTGTATGATATATGTGCCAATGGCTTGCAAATACTTGACAGTTCCCCTCCTTGCGAGTCAATGGCATGCAAACATACAAATGCAATGCACAACAGATTTTACCCTGTGAGACATAACTTTTTACACAAATCTTTGTGCCTATCTGCTGGTAGAGGTTTTGTGAAAATATCAGCTGTTTGATATTTGGTCTGACAATGTGATAAAGATATAAACCCCATCTCTACTAGTTGCCTAACATTTTGATAGCGGATATCAATATGTCTGGACCTTTTTCCCATCGCATAGGCTTTGGCGATGCCTATGGCCCGGTGTTGTCTTCTATAATTTGGATGGGCAAAGTCGGTGGTGTCCAGATGCTAGAAATTAAGGCATCAAACCATATCAAATCGTTCCCTGCCTCTGATAAGCATGCATATTCGGCCTCAGCGGTGGAGCACGAAACAAATTTCTGTTGCCCCACATGCCAATGGATGGGTGCCTCATTTAATAGTACCAAGAAGCCCGAAGTACTCCTAC